TCCCTACACCAACGCTGTCTTGGTGCAAAGGGACAGGCAAAGTGATCTTAAGGAAGAGACGCCTCCTCTTAGGTACCCACGTGCATTCTTGTTGGGGTACTGCTAGAACGGTCCAATAACACAGTTTAAACTGTTTAAAGACAATTGTGCCCATCCGAACAGAGAGCCTTGATGTCTGCGAGTTATCTTTAAATTACCTTAACACCATACAAGCAGTAAGGGAAAAGGCAAACAATAATTTCTTTGCTGTAACTCAATAAACATTTGAACTTAAGAGTACAAATTTATTTAGCAGTAGCAGCACAAGTTAATCCACTTATTTCTGAAATAAAGTCATGCCTGTACGGGGAGCCCTGCTTCTGATCACTACGAAAACACGTCCTCCTCCGTTTCACGCACTCGCTGAGCTGCTGGGGCGTTAGGACTGCCCACAGCTGGCAGCATGCAGAAACATCCATCCTACATACTGCCACCACTGGGGGGAAACTTATAGTCCCAAACTCTCGCTGGACTGATTCTGATTCAAACCTCTCCCTCAAATCACTCCTGTGCCCATCAGACACGAGCTGCGCTCCTCCTTCCAAGCGACTGCTCTTCAGGCACGGCTGAGAAAAGCCAGCTCCCACCCAGAAATAGGGCTCGAAGTCCACGCTGCTCACTGAACTATAAAAACGACATCGTTAATCTACAGCTAAAAATTCCCTGTGACTTGGCAGGACAAAGTTCAGTCTTCTGCATAAGTTTCTTCGCACATACAAGTTTTTGGTTTTGTTTTTTTTTGGTAAAGATGTGTGCTTGCAACCTTGCATTGTACAAGAATATGGATAGGAGAACAAAGCGTGCAGCTCTCAGCTGAAACGTAGGAGAACTAAGCAGCTCGCAGCACTTGTGGATGTGCAGTAGACAATCCTTATCTTCCGTTTTCAAGAATGCCACAACCAACATCGAGAAGGTTATACTGCCTACCTAACAAATATGCTCACTTTTCTGTTGCATCTCATCCTAAGACACCACCATAAACTGATGCATAAAACATGCTTTCCATATACTATTACTGCTATCCTGATCACAGGCCATTTAAGTATTTTACAATAAGTATTCTTCAAACAACTTGAGCACCTTTTGTCAAAATGCTTGTTACTGGTATTTAAGACAGCTCTTTAATTAAATAAGGAAAGAATACCTTTATACAGAAATTGAGAGAGGATCTGCATTTATTTTTAATTTGCAAATACATTGCTTCTGAAAGATGGTGGCCTGTTCAGCTGATGCTTTGTGTTCCTCGATGAGGAGTATTTTTAGGCAGTGCTGGAACTATTCCATTGTAATGAAATAGCTGTTTCTTCGCACAGGAGAAGACTGCCTTTCCTATAAAAGGCACATGACTGTCACGTATTTCTCTGAAGCACCTGGAGTTTGTGCCTGGTAATGGGTAACTGGGTTGATATCACTTAGGAGCTTTAATTGTCTCTTAATATTACCTACTGCCCTTTGCAACGGCAAAAGTAGAGAGAGATTGCAAACAAAGTAAACGGGAGTTCATGGCTTGCTCCTGCAAAGTCATCCACTTTATATTTGGTAAGAAAATCCCATATAATGCAATAGTAAGACAAAAATCCATTAAAAAACCTTTCACTGTACAGAAATGTGTCACTGCATTTCCAGACAGCCAGCATCAGAGATTAACTTGGCTCACATAACACAACGAGCCCTGAAAAGCTTCCCAGAGAAGCTGAGGCTGGTCGAGAAAAGCACTGGACTACATTCAGCTGAAAAACAGGGTTTGTTAGCATCAGTGGTGCAAACCTGTATTCTCCATCACAGCACAAACCTACCTATCAGTTAAGAAATACACACAAATGGCTCCCTATAGCTCTTCAGAACCACCCTCAAGGACACCTTGACAAGGTTCAACGTTGGAAAATCAAGTTCATCAGTTCCACTGAGAGGCAATGGGCAAGGCTGGAAAAGAGAGGACTCCCAACATACCACCTGAGAGACAGCCACATACAGCTTGAAAGTCGAGATCATAAACCTTACCTGGAGAGCAGGTTATAAAGCTCCCGCACTGCCTATACAAATCCATCCTCAACGGCCCATAATACCTAACAACTTGAAACCGAAACGACTTGCATAAACCAGCCATAAGAACTCACGTACGTGGCTATGACGAATAACCATAGTTAACTCAAGGGGCTGAGGCCTGTCTAGAAGAATAACGCTTTAATGACGGAAGCGGCCCAGAGACATGTCTGGATACACTAATCAAGACCAGGCTGTTCTGGTGGCCCGGTTTCGGAAGACGTTTAGCCAAGCAATGGCACACGCTTTTGAGACTGCACAAGTTCAGGGCTTGCTATAGTTCTCCTAGCGCTTGACGTTCTCCAGCGGAAGAAAGAGGTGCACATCTTCCATCATGGTGGAGCAGTTTTTATTCCAGACCTCTCCCTAAACAAACCTGTGAGAGACTTCCCCTAAACAAATTAAAGTACAGTAGCAATAGGAAGTTACACCAAGAGCTTGCGTTTCTAAGGTGATTAACAACCATCTGAGCAGAATGATGGGAATGCATTTCCCATGGGGAAGAAATGTTGGAGCAGGCAAGCAGGCCAAGCCACGAAGTCAATCTGTTTGAAACAAATTTCTGTTGTTCAACAGTGCTGGCCGCTCGCCAGCATTGGCATTATGACAAGAAGCATCCCTGTTTTCCAAAAAACCAGAGACAAAAAACACACATGCTTTATAAAGCACCTTGCTCTCCAGGTTTACACAAAAACGAACACAGTGATGGTAAACTTGCAACTAGGGGAAAGGAAGGTGAAAGCAAATCCTGCAAATGGATTGCAAATCCAAAAGGAAATGGTTCAGGAGTCTAATGAGTTTATAGAAAACACAAACAAGTCTTGCTATAAAGTGCTAAAGTTCCAATAACCCAAACTAAATAACTGGTAGAGGCAAATTGAAGATCTGAGTACATCTCCCTGAAAATACCCACCAATAGTCTTTGAAATCAGTGCAAAGAACTGAAAAAACACAGAAGTGATTTTCTGGGTCAAAAATCAATGCATTTAAACCTCAGAATTAACTGAAAGTCCCTGAGCAATACAAGAGCAGACACTTCCTCCAGGAACAACTATTCACCAAGTAGGTAGGCCGTTTAACAAGAGCAATTAGCACTAGTCAGCTCACACAGACCACTCTGCAGCAAGCTTTGGTCCAGCCGACCAAAGCTCAGGCCAGTATGGGCCCTCAAGGAAAGCACAGGAAAACACAGCCCTTGTGATGGCAATCTCAAGTGCTGAGAAGGAAACCTAAGAAGTAGTTTCAAGAAGAGAATATGCAGCCTTATAAAAGTAAATTCTCCTTCTTATCCTTTTCACTGGTCACCAAGTCACTTGCCAAGTGTCATAGGCAACGTGGACTCGAGTACTAGCCATTTGCCAGTAACTTGAAATCTACTTCTCTTTTACCTTGGATGACCACACCACTTATCACCACCATGTCCTAGCGTTTGGGCAACTTCTACTCACAGAAAGGCAGCAGCTGCCCAAAGCAGGTGAGCAGGGATGCTGGTGAGCAGCAAAAGGACTAGGAAGCACCTGCTGGCAACGTGCAGTCTCCCGTGGCTGAAGGGCCAAAACCTCCTCTGGTGGGTGATCCAGCTCAGTGCAAGGAAGTGCTCTTGGATTAGCTGCCAAACGTAACCCCTCGCATGGCAGTGCTGTGAGCGGTGCTCACTGGCATCTGTGGCCAGCCGTGGGAGGCTCCTCTCCTGCTACCTGGCCTTGGCCTTTCCGCCTTAGCTCGCTTAGTTGCAAGGCTGTGACATGGGTATCCAGACACAAAGCCCGCAGAGCCCCAAGGACAATTTAGCACTGGCTACTGCTGTACTATATATCCTGGAAGAGAAGTGTGTTATGTCTGTCCTCCACTGTCCTCCTGCACAAGCACAGAGCAAGCTCCAGGTATCTCCAAGGTGCTCACAGCCTTGACCCAGAGGGTCGAAAGCAGCTGAGCTCTGGGCCAAGGGCTGTGGCAGCCAATTCCACTCCTCTGGCTCAAAGTAGTCCTTCATGAAGGGGGGAAAGTTCATCCGCACAGATCTGTGGAACCCCCCCCGAAGGTGGAATAAGCTCCCCTGGGGATGAAGGGCCACCCCAAGCCTCCCTCTACTGCTGAAGAGGCCAGACATTTCCTTAGCCTGTCTTCTCTGAACAAATCCATAACACTTGCATAAACTCAAATCTAGCATCCGCTGCACTCTTGCTAAAAGACAGCAAAAATAAAAGAAATCCCAACCATCAGGTACCGAATGGGTGGTTTGTAAACAGTAGCAAAGGAAACGCACAGACATGGTGGCAACAAGCAAGAATGAGGTCATCTGGAGAGCAGAATATGGATATTCTGACAAAACCCTCAAGCTTTAGCACAGGGTCAGGTTAACAGTCTTTATCACTGGAAAACAGCAGTATTCCACCGACACCAGTGACCTGTCCAGCTGAACAGCTCCCGAGAAAAGTTTCTCCTTTTCACGCTCCTTTATGACAGTGAAGACTTCAGAGAAGCAACTAAACCACAAAGGCCACATATGGCAGACGCAAATTAATCTCCAGCCCTGACACATCTGTAGCCATCTCAAAATTGTCCTTGCAGGAAGGGCTTCATGCCAGATGTTCTAAATTGGAGCAAACTGCAAAGCACGCAGGAATTTGGAGCTCTGAACAGGCTCACGACACGGAGAACAGCAACGTACTTACGTACGTACCAACAAGAGCTCTAAGCCCTAAATACAACAGTGTTCTCAGCAATTCATCTACTCTGGTTAGGGCTTAAATCTTTTCTATTATCAACTTCCACATAACAGAAAGCGTCTCCCAGAGACTGTCACAGCTCTGCCGTCTCCAGTGCAGCCACTGTCCCAGTTACGTACAAAATATAACCTTTCTGCCTCAGAGGAGGCAGCTTCCTTGACACTACCCATCCAAGCTCACAGGCACACACAAGCGTGGGATGCCGCAGGAGCGCTCAGCTCCGAAACATCTGACCTGCTAAGATAACGCTGGTACAAACAGTCACAGAATCATTAGAAGTAGCCAATATAACTCCCCAACATAAAGAGGGAACCAGACTTTTAAAGCACTCTGCACAGATCTGGGAGTCACAGCGGCAAGGTGCATTTGCAATACGATACAGCCCTCAAACACTACCGCAATGCAAAATGAGAATTCCCAGCATTAAGGATTGTAGGGTTTTGCACTGAAATACCACATAAAAATCTGGGTCCCTTGATTCTATGAAAACAAATTAAAAAAAAAAAGGAGAAATTAGGGGCTGAAGACCCTGAATTATGAACATTCATTTGAAAACAATACACACGTTGTGCCTTGCGTTCTCTACATCATGACAGTTTCTGACATAAAACTGTAATTATTCGTTGTTAGAGAGGGAGAGCGAGCAAGCGCACGCGTGTCCTTTCCTTGGAAAACTGCAGCTTCACATGTAAGAAGTTTGACATACAAACCAAAGCAGCATGACACAGATGTACCGACACCATGCCGCCTTGAAATGTTATTTGACTACTCAGAAGCTCATTTTCCTTCGCAAGAGAGGCTCCCCAACCAGACTCCTCCTCTTCCAAGAGGAGCCACATCCAACACTGCATAGCGTGCAATCCCCCAAGGAACTTGCAGTCACAGTTTTTATTTACACACTCAACCACGTGTGACATACCGAGTCCAAAACACAGACAGGCTTAGAACCCACTTTGACAAAAATTACATGCTCTGGAGGAACTGAAATACAAGCAAACTCTTGCTCAGCAGGTAAGTGCTATGCACAAGGGGCTGCTGCTTAGGAAGGCCTCTGCCCTTCTGCAAGGCAGAGGGGGATTTCCCTGCCCTAAGTTAAGCACCAGAAGGAGCAGCAAGTCTAACTCAACCCAGATTCAACCAATATGCTATTTAACAGCTCTGTTGTTTCAAAAAATCTAACCACTGCCGAGCATAACCCCATTGCTTTGGGTTCAGAGATGATCTGATATTGCTGTATGCAGAAACGTGTTGCTCAGCTAGCTTTTGGCGAGTCCACTCCATCAGATGGCTGGCCAAGAAGCGCTGATGGTCACAGTTACATCTATAGGTTTAACTAGCAGATTTTGTATGTATTTTAGAGTTTGTACGTGAAGCTTCTCCATGTAGATCCCTGCTTTTTTCACTTCTGAGCAGACCCTCTTGCTTCTTCACGGGATCAGTGTTGGGCCCAGTTATAACTCAATATAGAGAACACATTCAGTCCCTGAAGAAAATTATAAAACTCCGTATTAGAAGCTGCTTCTCCACCGAAACTGAGAGTCTCAGATACAAACCATCTAAAACACTAACAACCGGCTTTCCAACAACTTGTCGGTGTCAGAAAACCATTGGACTAACACTGAGTCATGACGACAGCAACACACAGGAGAGTTCTGCCCCACCGTAGGGGCATGGTGCCTAGGCTGCTCCCAGGCTCAATAAACAGACACTGCAACCATTTCAACTCCTTAATTCAAATAACAGCTTATTCTTTTCCCATCTGCTATTTCCCTCCCCCATGCTAGAGGAGAAATTAGAAACCAAAGACATGATATACTCAGCTCTTAAGCTTTCAGCAGCCCCTAAAGATATAAGTATATGATTATCTGGGACATTATTCAGTCCCAAACTAGATACTTTTTTCTTTAATGTTTATACCTTTTCACTGGAAATGTTAAAACAAAAACAATTTTTCCTACATAGGTGCTGGAAAGATAAGAACCGGACGACACTATAAACAGCGAATCTATTCCTACAAAAAGGCATAGAAGTTCACGTAGCACGCCCACAGACAAGCAACACTTCTGCCATTTGGCACTCAACTGGAGATAGCCTTCACATACACCTGCAGGAGAAGAAGCGCCCATGTTAAGTTCATCTGGCATGAGAAGACTGCAAAAGCAGAGTAGTTGATACGACCCCTGTGTTTGCTACAATTCTTTCTAATCTTCACTTACGCAAATACTTGGTTCAGCTTCAGACTGCCAAATGGTCCAAGGCATGGTCTAGCACATGCAGTTTTTTCCTCCATCACTAGCTGCCACTGCTGTAGATGATAGCTGTTGGACGTACACACAGGATTTCTCTTTGCAAACCCATAAGAGGGCAGTATCAGACAAAAACGGTCACACAGGGAGCTGGGGAAAGGCCTGAGGTTATTTCCTCCTTTTCACATATTTCCTGCTTACCTTGCTGTTGCAATTTGTAGTCCGTGGAGTATGCCTTGCCTATGATGTTCCACACTGGCCTCAGGCAGCCAAAAAGTCCCTCAAGAAACCCACCGCTCCCACTGCCTGATCTGCTGAACTGGACTTTAACATCATCTGCTCCACTGTTGCTTTCTCCATCCATAGTGTTCCTGTTGCCCTGAGGAATGGGTGTTTCGGGTTCATCCTGCTCTCTCAGCTGCAGCACGCTGTTCTCAAATTGGTCCCTAGAGTCCTCACTGATGCTGGTCAGCACTGCTGCGGTCACTGGGCTGCTCACGTTTTCCACGAGGTCTGCCGGCAGCAAGCCCCTCTCACGCACATCCTCTATGAGTTCGGGTGACGGGTGGTTTCCCGAAGGTGAGTGCTCATCATGTATCCTATTAAAGTCTTTATCTTCACAGAAAGCTTTGCTGATTGAGTTTGGAGAGGAAGACAAGCTCAGGCGCTCCTGAGTACTGGCCATGATGCCGTGAGGGTGCATCAAGAAGATAGTCTGATTTGGTACTTAGAGAATTAGTACAATACAATTCAGACGCAACACGTAGACCCAGTACCTGGAATGAGAGGAAAAAGAACAATTTTTAAATTTATATTTAAAAAATTGCAAAGGTGAGCTGATAATTAACTAGTAATACCAGATGACTGCTGTTACTTAGTAAATTATTACTATGCTAAAAGCAGCAAATAAATGATTCCTACAGAAACTCCACTCGCACAGTGCAAAATCTGCTTCACTAAGGCAGCATGCATTTTTCCCCTCAGTAACCAACTGCAAGAATTGCCTGGTAAACAGATAATTTTTACATAAAAGCCTGAAGGTCGAAACTTGTCAAGACTTTTTACAGCAAAGAACTGTCTCTCCATGGTTACTATATAGCCTTTAATAAAGTGAAGCTGCACCTAGGAGTTTCCCAGCTCACATATGGCTACAGTCCGGTCACTGTTTCTGGGTCTGGCCCAGTCTCCAAATTCAGGATTCCCCTGCAAACTCTTGAGACAAGGCATCAGGGAACCAAAGCATAGTGATACAGGTGTCCCAAACCCACTAAAGGATGGTTTGTACCTGCTCCCTCAGAGCTCCACCTAGTTGGGACCATCCTAGTCCTTTAGTTTTATCCTTTCAAGGTCAATGTAACAAAACAGGTTATGTTCTTTAACCATGTCCACGTTATCCTTAAAAGAACTTCTAAAGAACAGTATACCCTCCCCTAACCTCCCTTCTTCTGCAAGCCTGAGGAGCATCTCTTCTCACTGCTGTGTTTCCCCCTGCATGAAGTTACCAGCAGTCTGCATATACATTCAGAGCAGGTGTCCCTTTTAAAAAGTCTCTCCGTTTCTCTCCCCCTGCTACTTGTTCCACCGAAAGGCCTTTTCCTGCAAGCCAACTCCGTCCCGGCTTTGCACAAAACAAACGTGCACGCAGAGCTGGACCACTAGCTGCCAGCCGCACCGAACTGCGCCGCGGCAGCTTCCCACTACCGGAGCGCTTTTCTTGGGTAAAGCCACTTCTGGAACGCGAGTCTCTAACTTCATGCCAGAAACAGTTAAGCGCGTTCAGCCTGGAGTGGAACAAAGTCCGATTTTAAATTCCAAATGCTGTTGAGAGAAATAAAAATGGCCAAGAGAAACTATTTTGCTAAAAAGTAAGATAAATTACACTGGGTACAAAGTCCTGGGCTCTGTAAACAGCCCCAGAAAGGCAGAACGAGGTGGCCAGGTCGCATGCAGCCAATCACACAGGAACAGCTCAGGCCCCGGCGTTCCTCAAGATGAAATCATTTCCGAGACGAGAGATAAGAACCTCAGGTCGGTGTACGAAAAGCTCAGGCCCTCTGCTTCAGTCCCTACCCGCCAGCGCAGCGTCCTCGGTAGGCACAAGCGGCAGAGGCGTCGAAAGGCAGCCTCCAGGAGCCTGCGTTACCTTCACTTGTTCTGCCTGCTCACGCGGGGGCTACACGTAAAAGCTTCAATAAAAGCAGGTCATTTAGGTTGTAAAGTTAATTCTTTATGAGCAAGCAAAACAGCAAGCGAGGCAAAAATTGTGTCATAGTCCATATTCGTAAAGGAGCTCAATTAACTCATGCAGGAACCTCACAGTGGGTTTTTCCCTAACCTGTGACCAGCGTTACACTGCCTGATTCCCTGGTCTTAGGAGCTGAGGGGGTGACAACTAGTAGTATTATGACCACAGATTTTGCTGTTGATGTAGAAATGGGAAAAGTTTCAAACCTGAACAGAATTTCACAAAAATATCAAAACATCTCCAACTCAGTGCTCCCCAGTACCATCCCTGCCTATTTCCAAAAGTCGGAAAGAAACAAATGATTCCTTGTGCAAAAGCAAATCGTGACCGTCATCCCTACAAAAGCATCTGCTTTTTACGCCACGGACTACCAGGCAACCCAAATAAAAGGTCAGCCTCATTCTCCCCTGTCAGAAAGCCTACACTAAGAGCCAAACCAAGAATTTGAGGAAATACTACCCCAACAAAAGCGCTTCAAATTTAAATAATGGGAAGTGCATAAAGCATTAAATCAGACTTAGAGGATAAAATTGCTTTGCTGCTCCATGATTCTCAAAATACACTACTTAGTACAGGCTAGGATTTTGCTCTCGCCTTCCTATGCGGTTTGCTGACTTTGCAATGCTTGAGTGTGAGATTTAAGAGAGAAAGAACAGCTTTTGTATTGATGCGTACATATTCCATGTTTCCCTAGAATTTAAATGGATTATCAGCATGCGTCGCACACAGACACCCCCAATGCATTTCTCAGTATTGCTTTTAAAGTTAAGCTTCTCTCTTTCATTCTGCTGCTGAATGAAGCCCCACTACATATATACGTTACCCCAATACTGGTACACACATTTCAAGGTAAAGCCAGATATAGCTACCAAATCACCCTGATTCTCAGTTCATTTGAACTCTGACATTACTTTCTCTACAGAAGCCTGCAGCCTCCCACCAAAATCAGGACTTGATAGAGTAGGCAGTGCAAGTGTACATGCAGAATCCTTTTCTTGCATTGCAATTAAAAAAAGTTTAGGCAAGTCAGATGCATTTTCGGTACTGTACAGTAGGCTGATCACAGAATCACAGGCACATTGGCTGAAAAGCTATTAAGTCCAGAAATTACCAGATTTAACCTCCCTCCTGCTCACAGCAGGACTAGCACAACAGAGGTCAGGTCAGCTGTGGCTTTGCCTGGCTGCAGCTATGACGCCGCAGCCAAGAGCGGCGCCCCGGATTTGGGGACCTCCAGTCCCCCAAATCTTGGTGACTTTAAGCAAACAGAAGCCTTCAAACAGTGCCCTGTCACCTTACAGCCTAGGCCAGCGTTTTGGCATCCCGAGGGGCAGGAGGAGGGGATAGGAAGGCATGCAGAAGTTAAGACAGTTACGTTCAAACCGGTACGATGCAGCCTTATGCGTACTTACAGAAGTGGCCCAATTTTTCGGGTGTGTAGCGAACCCCCTGCTCTGAGCGCACGAGAAGGCAGCTTTTATTCTAAAATGACTACGTATCAGGCCACATCGAAGTAAATGGCTCCAGATTTGTTGGGGGGGGGGGGGGGAGGGGGTAGAAGGCAGTTGCTGCCACAATGCATCAATATTGACTTGTTGGGGAAATGTTTTTTTTTTTTTTTTAATTATCTTATATTAC